CCTTGGCAGGGTCCGTAACCGCTGAACCTTAGGTTTGTGCCGCCGTGGCGTGCCAAAGCGTGGACTCCCGCAGCTCTCCAAAACCTCTTTTTCCAACAGCCTTAGGAATTTTTCCTGATAATCTGTCCTGTTTGGTCACGTGCCTCTGCAGCAGAGAAGTTCCTTTCACTCAAGATTAGACATAAGTACCTTTGGGTCGTAGCGACCAGAGTTTGTACCTTAAGTATTCCCTTCCTGGGGCTCCGGAGGATTAGCGGACGTGTCTGAGGTGGGCTGTCAGGGAATCCTTGCTCGGCACCGTGGTTCAGACACTCCTCCGGCTTCCTGAAATCGCAGCGTGAAAGGGTGGGGAGAGGTGGCACGTCGGCAGCTGGGGGCGGCCTGGCTCGTCTGCGGGGCCGACACAAGGCGAACAGAGCTCTGGCTCTGCACAAAACCGCATCGGTCGCCTTCTGGGTGCTGACACGGTGCCGCTTTTCCTGGCCAACTCGTGTCCCTTGCTCCCCTCTGCTGGGAAAATCTTCCCGTAGCACCGTCCCGAGGCTTAGCGGTGCTCTTTGCTCTTGGCAGGAACGCTGACAATGAGACCAGCTCCGCGACGTCAGCCGGCGATCAGAGCAGGCACCCTTTCGAGGTGAGTCCTCTTGCCCTTGAAGTGGTTTTCCATCAATACATCGTTCAAATGCTCCCTGGATGATGGCAAAATTTGGGAAGAGAGCTATTAGTATTGTCCAGGTGTGTGGACAAACCAGGGAGGTCGTTACTTCCGAGCTTCGTACGTGGTGTCAGCCCGTGTCGGCTCCTCGGAGAGCACGCGATGTCCGGCGTCGCCGTGATCTGCAGCTCAGTGGGAAGGCTGGTGAAATTCCAGGTGTCGGAGCTGTGTCTCCCTGTTACAGTCTGCTCTCCCAATTCTCTCCCTCCCAGAACGTGGATCAGCACTTAGTCACCCTGCCGCAAGCCTATGGCCAGTTTGCCTTTGGGATCTTTGATGACAGCTTTGAGTTTCCGTTCGGGTCCAATGTGCAGTCGGAAGACAACCGGGACTCGGAGAGCCGGAGGGAGCGAGAGCATCAATCCCGGCATCGCTACGGTGCGAGGCAGCCCCGAGCCCGGCTCGCCACACGCCGTGCCGCTGGCAGGCACGAGGGAGTGCCCACGCTGGAAGGGTGAGAGCTGCTGGGTTTTTGGGGAGCCCCGCTGATTTTTGTGGGTGAGGGGTAGCCAAAACTCGGCCCGTACCCGTTTCTCGCCATTTTGGGCCAGGCTGTCCCACGTGACTCGTCTGCGGCACCCGGCATCGCCCCGTGACGCCAGGCTTGGGCCAGGCCCGTGGCTGGTGGCGAGCTCTTGCCCTGAGCTGCGCTGGGGGGGCTGTTGCACCGGGCTGCGGTGCGGCTGGGGGCTTTGACCCTGAAAGAGCATCCCCTGGTCTTTACAGGGTGTTGCCAAAACGTGCTCGGCATGAGGGGAACGTGAGAAAACACTCGGCCAGGCGCATGATTCCCTTCCCACGTCCCACGGAGCCGCTTGCCAGCTTTGCCAGAATTT